GTCCTAATACTGGGAAAGTGGGATTATTGCATGTAGTAGTGGATATTTCGAGGGCTGAAGGTCCTCCTCTGTACTGTATAATTCTATGATTCTGACTCACTGCATACAATTTCACACAAGTTGCTTCTTTAAGAATTTTGTTGTTTATTTAATATTGTCACAGATTTCTCCATATCCCCGAGTATCTCAATGATTTCAATGGTGGTGACATGGTGGCTCAGTGGTTAGCACAGCTGCTTCACACAGCCAGGGACCTGCGTTCCATTCCAGCCCTGAGTGACTGTCTGTGGGGAGTCTGCATATTTTCCTGTGTCTGAGTGGATTTCCTTCCACAGTCCAAAGGTGTGCAGGTTAGGGTGGATTGACCAGGCTAAATTGCCCATTGTGTCCAGGGATGTGCAGGCTAGATAGATAAGGCATCAGAAATGCTGGCTTACGAGGATGGGAAAGTGGCTCTCAGTAGGATACTCTTTAGAGGGTTTCTCTCAGCTGAATAGCCTACTTCCTCACTGTAGGGATTCTATGATCCATCTAATGGCGTGGTTTCTGTTGAGCAGAAGTTTAAAATAACTTGCCAAGGGGGAGATTCATGCCAGAGAAGGTGCATTTTACATTCACAGAATCACCTATACTTTCCCATAACACTTCTGGCACTGAACAAACTGTGGTTTTTACCATTAACATCTGAAACAGTCGAGCTCATGGCCATTACACATGTCAATATCAGAATGAAAATGAAGGACAGGTGGCAGTTTCACCATTTTGCAATGAAACAAAGATTGTCTTGAGAGGGAGGTAGAAAGAACCATTGACATACGTTGCACCCTTTAAATATGCAAGTCCCTGCCCCCTTCAAAGCAATAGAGTTATAGAGGTATACAGCTGGAAGCAGACACTTTTGGTCCTACTCGTCCATGCTGGCGAGGTTTCCTAAAGTGAACTAGTCCCATTTACCTGCATTTGGTCCTTCTAAACCTTTCCTATTCATGTGCCTGTCCAAATGTCATTTTACCCGCCTCCACTACTTCCTCTGGCAGCACGTTCAATACACGCAACTTCCTCTGTGTGAAAAAAATTGCTCCTCAGGTGCCTTTTAAATCTTTCCTCTCTCACCTAAAACCTATGACCTCTAGTTTTGAATTCCCCGACTCTGGAGAAAAGATCTTGGCTATTCACCTTATCAATGCATCTCATGATTTTGTAAAACTACCGCTGAGCCTCCTACGCTGCAGGGAAAAATATCCCAGCCTATCCAGTCTCTCCTTATAACTCAAACCCTCCGGTCTCAATAACTTCCTTGTAAAACTTTTCTGCACCCTTTCCATTTTAATAACACACTTCCTTGCAGGGGGACGAGAATTCAATACAGTGCTCCAAATGTGGCCTTATCATTGGTAACATTAATTGTGTTACCAATATCTCTGCAAGTTTTAATATTATCACTTCAATAGAGAACAAACAAGCATCCCCATGTCTCGATTTTGAATGTCACATTCGCTTTCACTCCTGTTTCACTCTGTATCCATCAAATATTTATATAATTTCAAAAGTTGATAGGAGAACCGTTTTTATTCTTCTGTGTTTTTTTTTCAAGATTTTAACAGAAATGTGAAATTTTCATTTTAGAAGGATTATTGCGTGTTTTCAAAGCAAGTCACCTGGGCGAATTAGCCCAGCAAGAATACCGCGGAGCCAGTAGATGCTCATACATGTGCTCCATGTTGCAGCTCACAAGGAGAAGACCTCTCCCTGGGACAGAACTTGCACGTTCAAGCCCCATCGCAGAATGTATTGATGATCATAAAAACAGACTGATCGCAAAATGAAGCAAATTTGGAATTTTCTTCATGTTAATGTCCCCCCAATTTACCAGGGTGTGTCATTTTTGTTTTTACTGCAGATTGTTATTCTATTGGACAACTATTTCGCCTGTGTCTTGCAGCAGTTGTTTTGGTTCTGCTTGCAATCTTTCTTGCGTTGGAACTGAGAAATAAATCCTAGGAACCGAAGAGTATAAATGGTAAGAATGGTGTGTTGATCCTATTAATTATGATAGTTTTCTCATTTCCTTTCATACTTTCATTAAAGTAACAGATTGTGAAATTGGAAATGAGGATGTGAATACTGATTATGGGTAAATTTGCCAATCTCTGAAGTTACTGTTAGCTCAATATCTTAACATTGTGTACTTGAATATTAGAGAAATTTTGTAGGATATCTACAGAGCTTGAATTTTTTAGTATTTTCTCGTGGGACATGGGTATTGCTGCCTGGCCAGTATTAATTGCCCTCAGTCCTCAGTAAAGGGCTCCCCTTTGTCCCCCTCCATCCACACATCAACGAATACCGGTCACATTTGGACATAGAGCAGTTTTTCTGCCGCCTCCACCGCCACGCTTACTTCTTTAACCGTGAACCTAACACCCCCTCTACTGACCCCTTCTCCCGCCTCCAACACACCCCCTCCTCCTGGACACCACCCCAAGGCCTCCTACCCTCCCTCGACCTCTTCATCTCCAACTGCTGTAGAGACATCAATCGCCTCAACCTCTCCACCCCTCTCACCCACTCCAACCTCTCCCCCGCAGAACGTGCAGCCCTCCGCTCCCTCCGCTCCAATCCCAACCTCACCAGGATGAAGGTTCTAGGCCCGAAACGTCAGCCTTCCTGCTCCTATGATGCTGCTTGGCCTGCTGTGTTCATCCAGCTCTGCACCTTGTTGTCTCTTAATTGCCCCGTTCCTAGTTGTCCCTTGAGGAGGTGGTGGTGTGTGCCACTGCAGTCCATGTGCTGTAGGTTGACCCACAATGCCCTTCGAGGGTCAGTCATGATCTTATTGAATGGCAGAGGAGGCTTGACAGGCCAGATTGGCCTACTCCTGTTCCTATTTCTTATGTTTTTAGGGAGGGAATTCCAGGGTTTTCACCCAGTGACACTGAAGAAACGGGTGATATATTTCCAAGTCGAGATGGTGACTGGCTCGGAGGGGAACTTGAAGAGGGTGATATTCCAATGTATTGCCCTGGTCCGAGATGGAAGTAGTTGTGGGTTTGTAAGGAGATGTCAAAGGATCTTGGTGAATTTCTGCTGTACATCTTATGCAGAGTTAACATGTTGAGTCCAATGATGCCTGTTCAAAATAATTCTGGGAAATCTTGTCGAATGAATGTTTACTCTTTTCTCTTTTCCTGGCAAAGGGATTTGCTCCTTGCATTGAAATTTCTATTTGACAATTTCTGATAATAACAAAATGAACAGTTGTTTTGGAGTTTTGAAAAGTTTGAACCAAATTTCAAACAGGTTTTAGACAATGAGTGCTTGGGAATGATTTTTTTTAATCTCCTTTATTCCTGCAGCTCCAACTGCGTCTCGGGGCAACATCACAGACAGAACAATCAATTCCTTCAGTGGCTCAATAATTCAACAAGGACATTCGCTCTGGTCCATCACAAGGATACAACAAAAGGATTCCTCATCAGCTGCAAGGTACTAGATTCCGAGAATGGATGTATATTGACTCATCAACAACAAATAAAATGCAAAATAAAAACTGTGTGTCCAGACATACCCCAATCCCATGAACAAAGATAAAAGAAAATGAGAATTGTGACAAAAGTGAACTGAGAAATTGCATTTGTTCAGCAAGGGTGTAGCCTGATGACTGTGGTCAGTGAATCTAATGACAGGTATGTGCACAATGTATGCAACGTACAATGTACGGATATATGTTGTGTTGGGACCATTATTGTTTTTCTCCATTTGGAGCTGTGAGCTGAATTTCAACATTGAATTTGGAACTTTGATCAGGAGTTTGCTTCTATTTCATTTTTAAAAGAGCAAGAAACTTATGTTTGCATTTGGAGATTGGTCTGGAAATATAATTGTGGGTTAGTTCTTGTTCGAAGAGCACTGCAGA